ATCCGGCTCCCCATTAGCTGGGGCCCCGAATGGCCAGGCCAATCCCCCCAGCTAACACGCCGTGATCACGCAGGGGCCATGCTCCCTGTCTCAACCCTTATTGGCTACAAAGCAGGACCGGCAAGCCAATCCCCACGTGAACCCTCTATGGCTGTTATTACACAAAGACTCGCGACCTCGCGTGGTGCTTTTATCGTCGTTGCTCTACCAGCCCGGGCACAGATGGTGCAAACGCCAGAAGCCACAGTTTGCTGTATATTTGGTGTTGACTGTTATGTTATCCAACTCTCTGTTGTATTACATTCCATTTCTAAGTATACTAGATTTGTGTTTCTGTTTCATTTATACCTGATGATGATTGCTTGTGTTGCAATCGAAACGTCGTATGCTAGTATTTAATTTATTATTTTATCTTTATACGTGACTTTACCGAAAGAACCAAAGAGTAATTCCTGCAGTCACGAAAGCTCCAAATTAAGATTGAACTACTTCTACGGGGAAGTTTAAAGTTTGTCTTTTTCTCTCTCTCTCTCTGGGGTTTTTGTTGTCTCTCTCTGCTTATGTATCGATCTTCGTGTTTGTGTCTTTTAAATGTCACACTTAACTTCTAATTTAGCAATTTTTGGAAGAACGTAATCAACCAGGCTATGCGTTAATTATGTGTTGACCGACCCTCTGTGTTGCATTGCATTACATTTCGAAATTTTGCTCGATTTATTTGATTTAGTGTACTTTCTCTGTCTCTACTCGTTTTGTCGTTCTTATGTTCTGCTCTCTCTGTGTGTATCGGCTGTTGTCCCTCTCCCTCTCTGCCTTTGTCTGTTCCTCGTGTTTGTGTCTTGTCTCTCTTTAGAATTTCACACTTAAATTCTAGCTTAGCAATCTTTGAAAAACGTAATCAACCAGGCTATGCGTTAATTGTGTATTGACCGACTCTCTGTGTTGCATTACATTACATTTCGATATTTTGCTAGGTTATTTAATTTAGTGTGTCTCTCTCCTTGTCTCCTAATTTTCAAGCTTTCGCACCGTACCACTCGTCGTGCTACTCATTGACATGCTAATTTCTCTGACCCCTCCCTCTCTCTCCGCCCCTGCCCCCTCTCTCTATTTAAGGCCTCGACACAGAGGCGTGGCTTTCTCTGTGTGCCTATGTTTGTTCTCTCTCTATGTATCTCTGTGATATCTGTCTGCTTATATGTCTGTCTATAAGTTTCTGGTTCTGTGTTTTATCTCTCTCTCAAATTTAGCATTCTCAGGAAGAACGTAATCAACCAGGTAGGGTGTTGACTGTTATGTTATCCGACTCTCTGTTGTATTACATTCCATTTTTAAGTATACTAGATTTGTGTTTCTGTTTCATTTATACCTGATGAGGATTGCTTGTGTTGCAATCGAAACGTCGTATGCTAGTATTTATTTAATTATTTTATCTTTATACGTGACTTTACCGAAAGAACCAAAGAGTGTATATTTGGAGTTTGCGTGCCTCTCTCCCCGTGGTCTCGTGGATTTTTCTTCGGTTCCTTCGGGTTTTTCCCTCAAAAATTTAGAATCAACATCACGCGTTTAGAGTATTTGGCTTGAATACATTTCACAGATAATCCGTAAGCCACTTTGTTACGCTATCATTTGTGATGGTCAGTGTCGCTTCTGAAAAAGAGCTACATAGCAGCTCAGTGGGGCCTTACCTGGTAACATAAATACATAATTATATTACGGAGGAAAACACTCTTATTATTTATATTATGCATAAAAAAACTCTTATGGATAAATACAAAGTTGTTTCAGCTCATCAGACAAACCAGGCGTGAGCACGAGGACGACTTGGCCTTGGTCTAATAATCTCTGGCGTCATTGTGATGATCATAAACAGCCAAGTGAGCTGTTTTGCGGCTGTGGGCATGCCGCCTTCTCCAGACATGTATTGTCTTCGTTGCTGCATGCTCACGAACGGAATACCTGCTGCTAGTGGTGAAGCCTGTAAACGATTAACATGCTCTAATGTCCAGTATTGCTATCTTTATATTGGGGGGAGGGTGTTATCATTCAGTTTGCGTCAAAGAACGGATCACCTGTCATGTAATCTTATCTTGCCAGGTCTTTGTAAGGTTTGAGCCTCGACAAAGGTTGCCAGTTACGGGGTTAGTCGGAAATCAATTAAGCTGTGGAGTTTAAAGGTGGACCAGTCACGCAACATTGGAAGAAAGTAGCAAAGTTGCGTGTAACGCGAAAGTTGCAGTGGCTTTACTTTGGGGAGAGCTACATTCTACTACGGGTGGTTCAGAGCACTTGGCTCCTGATCGGAAGTAGGCAAGTGCACATCCCGCCTAGGAATCAACTCCGTCGATCATCACAATAACAATCCTCATTATCGTCGTCGTCATCATCCTCATCGGGTTTCTCAACCATTGTTGGCTTGCCACTTGCCATGAGTTTGCAGCCATAAAGTCCAGGAATTGGGATCTCCGTTCAGGACGCGTGGTAACCCGTCCAGGAGTTATCGTGCGTCTTTGCTTTCATGCCGGCCCCATCGATCTAGGATTTCCTCAAAAGGGGTGGATCGCGCAACTTGATGCTGATGATAGCCAGGGTAGTTTAATCATCGGGCTTGGCCCATGGTAAACCGCAGGGTATTTTAATTGGACATAAAAATGTAATAATTGTTCTTAACATGTTTATCTGTTGATTCGGGGGGCCCCTTGTAACTGACTGGGCTCTGATGCGTCTCATAACGCTGCCACATCACACCCCCTCCCCCATAGTTACGCCCTTGGGCACCACCAAACAATGACCCATTCTTTGCAGGGCCCTCATCAGGGGCCGTCCATAAATGACGTCACGCATTTGGGGGGGGGGAGGTCAGACATTTGTAACGATGTGTGACGAGGGGGGGGGGGTTGAGAAATGTGACGTCACATTAAAATGCGCAACTTTAAATAAATATAGACAACACGTTCTACTTAAATAAATATACAACATCAGAGTGCAGCGCCACATTAAATACGCACTACAATGAAAATAGTTTAAAGCGGTTTGAAGCATGTTTTATTTGGGTGGGGGTGCAGAGCTTAGTGACGTCATATTTGCGGGGGGGTATGATTTTTTGTAACGCCCTATGAAGAGGGTGGGGTGGGGTCGGAAAATCGTCCAAAATCGTGTGACGTTATAGTAGAACTCCTCTCAACGAGCACCCTTGTTAACGACTAATCGTTTAACAACGGGCCTCGATAGAGCCTAATGAGTAGTGTATAGTAGTGTAGTGTATAGTCATGTAGTGTATAGTGTAGTGTACAATGTGGTGTATAGTAGTGTAGTGTATAGTAGTGTAGTATATAGTAGTGAATAGTATTGAAATGTATAGTGTAGTGTTTAGTAGTGTATAGTGTAGTGTATAGTCGTGTAGTGAATAACAGTGTAGTGTATAGTAGTGTAGTATATAGTCATGTCGTGTATCGTGTAGTGCATAGTAGTGTAGTGTATAGCAGTGGAGTGTATAGTGTAGTGTTTAGTAGTGTAGTGTATAGTAGTGTAGTGTATAGCAATGGAGTGTATAGTGTAGTGTTTAGTAGTGTAGTGTATAGTAGTGTAGTGTATAGTGTAATGTATAGTGTAGTATATAGTAGTGTAATGTATAGTATAGTGTATAGTATTGTAATGTATAGTGTAGTGTATAGTAGTGTAATGTATAGTGTAGCGTATAGTAGTGTAGTGTATAGTGTAATGTATAGTGTAGTGTATAGTGTAATGTATAGTGTAGTGTATAGTAGTGTAGTGTATAGTGTAGCGTATAGTGTAGTGTATAGCGTAGTAGTGTATAGTGTAGTGTATAGTGTAGTGTATAGTGTAGTGTATAGTAGTGTAATGTATAGTGTAGTTCATAGTAGTGTAGTATATAGTAGTGTAGTGTATAGTGTAGTGTATAGTGTAGTGTATAGTAGTGTAATGTATAGTGTAGTTCATAGTAGTGTAGTATATAGTGTAATGTATAGTGTAGTGTATAGTAGTGTAATGTATAGTGTAGTGTATAGTAGTGTAGTGTTTAGTAGTGTAATGTATAGTGTAGTGTTTAGTAGTGTAATGTATAGTGTAGTGTATAGTAGTGTGGTGTATCGTAGTATAGAGTAGAACCCCTCTTAACGACCACCCCTGTTAAGGACTAATCGATGAACAACGGGCCTCCATAGAGCCCAATGTGTCGTGTATAGTGTAGTGTATAGTAGTATATAGTAATATAGTACATAGTGTAGTGTATTGTAGTGTATAGTATTATCGTGTATAGTGTAGTGTATAGTAGTATATAGTAATATAGTACATAGTGTAGTGTATTGTAGTGTATAGTATTATCGTGTATAGTGTATTATATAGTAGTGTATAGTAGTGTTGTATACAGTAAAGTAGTGTTTAGTAGTGTAGAGTAGAACCCCTCTTAACGAGTACCCCTGTTAACGACTAATCGCTTAAGATGGACCTCCATAGAGGCTAATCTGTAGTGTATAGCGTAGTGTATAGTAGTGTAAAGTGTAGTGCCTCCATAGAGCCTAATGTGTAGTGTATAGCGTAGTGTATAGTAGTGTATAGCGTAGTGTATAGTAGTGTATAGTGTAGTGCCTCCATAGTGCCCAATGTGTTCGCTTATTGACCATTCCCCTGTTAACGACGGGCTGTTGTAGGTACGGTAAATATTAAATAATGCATTGATTAACCACGTTTCTTTCAATATGATGCGTTTATTTTGTTGTTAGTGTCTTTATGTATTAATATCCATTGTTTAAATATCATGAAGTACGTTTTTTGGGTGAAAAAGGGTAACTCTCGATGCTATCGGAACGAATTAAGCCTTTAAGGTGCATTTTCTTGACTCGCTTAATGACCAATTCACTTAACGACCGGTTTCATGGAACCAATTACCGTCGCTAAGAGGAAGGACTCTACTGTCGGGCCAATTAACGAGCGTTGGTATGGACTCTGCTGTGACGATGCCATTGCTGCGTGCCCAGGTCTCTGCGGCACCTTCTGCATGCTCTGCCTCCACTGCCTGATGGCCAAGGACTTTGGCGAGTGCATCTGTTTGCCCATCCTGCCTGGCAGCTCCGTGGCGCTGAGAACCGCCATACGTGAGCGCTACCACATCCAGGTGAGGAGACGCCAGCTCAGCGGTGAGCTCTTGTCGATGGGGGCACTGCCACTGGCTTATTGCACGTGTCCTGTGATCCAGCCACTGTCGATGCGAGGTTTTTGATGGATCGCACAAGTGTTGGGAAAGTATGTATCTTCTTTTCGTGGATCTGGAGCAGCAGCCATAGCCTGCGTGTGCTAGGATAAGGTGCTACAAGAGGACTCCCCAACTGGATTATTGCACGTGTCCTATGCTCCGGGCCACCGTCGATGCGAGGGTGTGATGAGTCGCAAGCTCACAGGTGTTTGGGAAACAACGTCAGTCTATGGGCGTCGAGCAGGAGCCATGCCCTGGCATTTTCCAGGAGCAACAATGTGTAATAAAGGTCGTGGAAGCAACTTCTAGAATCAGGTTCTTTATTTCTCTTTCGTTTACAGCTCTCTTCATATGAACTCTACTACTGTCTTACTCCTTCACGCTGTTGACCGATAGCGTGAGAGGGAGGGAGAGAGAGAGAGACTCTTGCTGCCACGTGGAAGGCCCTGGACCCCCGCTTCTGCGTGGCCTCACCCTCCGTTCCAGATCTGACCACGTGTAGCCCGTCTCAACCCCTTTTAATACCTGGGTCACGTGGTACCTTTCAACCAGTCCTGGGTAACCTCCCTGGAATCTTCCAGATTCCATCCTACGATCCCAGGACCACGCCCCTAACTCGTCCCCCCATTGGCTGTGGCTAAAGCCAGCAGATCAAATCATCTCCTTCCAGGTGTCACCTTCCCATTACGTCACGGCCACGCCCCTAGACCTCTCCCCATTGGTTATGGGCCTGGACCGGTAGAGCCAATTATCATAACGAGGTGTGATCAATCAACCACCTGGATATACCCTCACATTACATCAATGTACAGCAACAATGTCCACATTGGAACACGTGGAGTTCCAACTCCACGTGTTCCGTATGTATGTGGATAGAATCTTTTTTTTAATCTCTGCCCCCCTGGCACGCGAGGGTATTTTTCCAGGTTGTCCGGTTTCCTCCCACACATAAGCACTCATTAATTTGCCAATAACACCGTGATATGTAGAGGGCCGCAGAGCTTGGAGTAATAGTTGGTGGCTGCTGCTATTGCCTTCATGCTCGTGTGTGGTTCCTCCTCCTCGCGACCCTGAGTCGCCTCCTCCCCCCTTTCGCTCTCGACGAGAGCGAGCTGCGTCCTGCGCCTGTCGCTAAATTATTCGTCATATGCAGCGGCGCTCCACTATATACTACACTACTATAAACTTGATTTGAAGCGTTTGTGACTGCAGGAATTGCTCTTTGGTTCTTTCGGTAAAGTCACGTAGAAATAAAATAAATGCAATAATAGAGCACGACGTTTCGATTGCAACACAAGCAGTCGTAATCAGGTAGAACTAAATTTGAGAGAGAGACAGAACACAGACACGGAGACACACAGACAAACACACAAGCAGAGAGAGACAAGACAGAGACATACAGAAAGAGACACACACAATAGACACACTACACTGTACACTACACATTGGGCTCTATGAAGACCCGTCGTTAAGCGATTAGTCCTTAACAAGGGTGGTCGTTAAGAGGGGTTCTACTAAACGTCCGTCGGGAACCAGCGGCCAGGAAATGTAGAAAAGAAGGACTTCACGCGCAACCATTGTTTAGTTGTTGTCGTAATCATTGGACGGAATCATTGCTGTGGAGGATATAAAATGCAACGAAAGAGATAAGCGGGGCGTCACCCCTCTTGCCTCCGCATTGACAAAAAAAATTTAACTCAAAAGTACTTCTCACGAATCGAATCAGCCGCACACACTGATGATTGCTCCACGTCACGCGCAGTGCGTACACATCAGCACTGGGGAGACAAAGGCGGCCAGGCGTGGTGGTATCCACCCACCCCTTCGTTGCTCCGCTATTAAGGGGCCGTCCATAAATGACGTCACGCGATTTTGGACGATTTTTTACCCCCCCCCCCCCTTCGTCACACGGCGTCACAAAAAGTCAGACCCCCTCTAAAAAATGACGTCACAAAGCTCTGCCCCCCCCCCCCAAAATAAAACATGCTTCAAATCGCTATAAACTATTGTCATTGTATTGCGTATTTAATGTGGCGCTGCACTCTGATGTTTTTGGAGAAAACATTTATAAAAAAGTATATTTAATTAAGTAGAACGTGTTGTCTATATTTATTTAAAGTTGCGCATTTTGATGTGACGTCACATTTCTCACCCCCCCCCCTCGTCACACATCGTCACAAATGTCTGACTCCCCCCCCCCCCCCCGCTAGGTGCGTGACGTTATTTATGGACGGCCCCTAAGGCCATAACTGGGGATCTTTGTCTCCGTTTAATTTTATGTTTGTTTATGAATTTTGTGTTCCAGGGCTCCATATGCGAAGACTGCGCGGTGCACATCTTCTGCTTCTGCTGCATCTCGTGTCAGATGGCGCGAGAGATCAAACTCCACATGAAGCAGCCCGGCCCCATGCAGATCGTGAGGACCGCCGTCATCGATGAGCAGAAGCAGCAGCATCCACAGTAGTAGATACAGCAGTAGCAGCAGCAGACACAGTAGTAGATACAAGCAGTAGCTACAGCAGTAACCACAGTAGTAGATACAGCAGTAGCTACAGCAGTCGCTACAGCAGTAACCACATCAGTCGCTACAGCAGCCACAGCAGTCGCTACAGCAGTAACTACAGCAATAGCCACAGCAGTAGCTACATCAGCATCCACAGTAGCCACAGCAGTAGCCCATCATTATTTTGAGCCGTAAAAAGGGTCTGGGAACTCTGTTCCAGGAATTGCTGTTGTTGTTGGCATCCCAAGTTGAATCTCGCCGTATGTTGTCCTCTTTGATTTTGCGTTGGGGCATTGCTGCTCGTGGTGGTGGTGCGTGCGTGAATGTTACGGATAGACTTACATTTGGCTTACCAAACAGACGTTTTGGAATCTTATCTTAACGGGATTTAAATAGCGCATTAATCAACGTGCTTTACGGATAATTAACGATACAACAACAATAACGCGTGTGTGAATGTAATGGTGGGAAATGAGGTGAATGAAATAGATGAGAGGAAGCAATGGGGGCGAATCTGTGGTGATGATGATTCGTGAATTCGGTGAAAGCAAAATTTATGACAGTAAATGACGATGGTGAATGGATTGAATGAATTGGGTTAATGAGTGATAGCCGTGTCGTCGGTTAAATTGAGGCGCACACTGGACTTTGGAGGCAACAGGACCGCCCACCACGCTTCCTGGTCGACTAGCGGAGAGCTTCATCCCAGAGTTTCAGTTTCATGTATTTGGTATAGCCCTGTGAGCCATTCGGCTCTTGAATCGGGTGCAACCGCAACAAACAAAAACATGAACAAGAAACATCTTAAAGTGACTACGCGCAAACAAAAAAATCCAAGAAAAAACAGCAAAGTCTTCCAGAAAAAGCACCATATATCAATGATGTGAGCAAATATCCCAGTGGCATGCAAGTCAAACAATAACAACCATAAGACAATTTATATTTAAGGTATTAGAGATGACAAAGCAGCATAGCAGAACAGCACAGAACAGCACAGAACAGCCCAGTTGTCTGTCCACACCCCGCTTATAACCACTCCGGCGTGGCCAGCTCCGCCCCAGGCCACGCCCCCCTTCCCGATCCTTCGTGAAGGCCCGAGTCCCAACCACGTGACCCCCCTGGGGCCCCTGGCCCCCCTTTATCCAGTCACGTGTCCTGTTGGGTTTACGCAGAGTGTGTCACGGCCCGACACGACCCCGTGATACCTGCCTACAGCCCCCATATCGAGGCAATGCAGTAGTGTCGTTCTACTACACTACATCCGTATAAAGAGAATAATCATTATTATTCTGACAGTAGATGATGTGTGAGCATGGCGACTGTGATTGAATGAATTGGGTGGGGGCGAGAAGAGAGAGAAATGGCGAAGGCGTGGATTGAGCACAAGGTGGGTCGTGCGGTCAGTGAGCACCTACGAAGGCCGCCACGTTGAGATCTGTGCCGCCGCGATGACGAGTGTGTGTGCGTGACGTCTGTGTGTGTTACGTCTGTGTGTGTTACGTCTGTGTGTGTTACGTCTGTGTGTGCGTGACAACTGTGCGCGTGACGAGTGTGTGTGCGTGACGACTGTGTGCGTGACGAGTGTGTGCGTGACGACTGTGTGCGTGACGTCTGTGTGCGTGACGAGTGTGTGCGTGACGACAGCGCGATGACGAGTGTGTGCGTGACGTCTGTGTGCGTGACGAGTGCGTGTGCGTGACAACTGTGCGCGTGACGAGTGTGTGCGTGACGACTGTGTGCGTGACGTCTGTGTGTGCGTGCTTGGGGAGCGGTGGTGTCGTGGTCAGCGCTATGCTGCGCTACGAACCCGGCGACCCGATTTCGATTCCCGCTCGCGGCCAACACCGTTGGCGATTATCTGAACCGGTCCTGGGCCTCCCCTAGGTCGACTCAGCCTCAAATGAGTACCTGGTGTGGGGAAACAAAGGCGGCCGGGCGTGGTGTTGGCCAACCACGCCCTCGTGTGTCATGCCGTACTCGTTAACAGCACTTGCCTCAACAGACTGTTGAGGGCTATAGGGGGGGATCTTTGCCTTTCATTACTGTGTGATGTTTGGAGTGCATACGATTTCATAAATAAATAAAAAGATTCTGATCTGATAAATACATTGAACCTTGCCTGTGATGGATCGATTTTGTTTTGTCAATCGCTTTGCACCGGGCACAATTGCTAGAAACGCGAAGCAGCCAGCAACAAGAAGCCCTATCAAAGTTGTAATAAAGTTTTTAAATTATTATTATTCATCGATTTGTGTTGAAGTGTTCATACGTGGGTGGAGCGGCCAGTGGTGACTCGAGTTCGATTTAATTCTGGCCGCACGGCTAACATCTCCCGAATGTTCTGCGTTAAACATCGCCAATACTATATTCTTTTGTTTTTTCGGTAAAGTCACGTAGGTGAAAAAAGAATAAAATAAAATAATAAAATTCAATCACGACGTTTCGATTGCAACACAAGCAACCACAGCAAGAATTGTTTTACCGAAGTGGGAGAGATGCCAGGGTTATGGCAGTTAAATAAGTCAGAGAGGGGAGGGTGGGGGGGAAAGAATATCGATCCTTGCAGTCACGAAAACTTCAAATCTAGAATGAATCGCCATTACTGCAGAGAAAAAGGCAGCCAGGGACACGATCCTTTGCCACAACACCTCATGGTGCGGCTATGCTGGCCGTTAAAGGCGATATGGGAGATCTTTGTTGTGTGTGTGTGTGTACCTGTGCATAACAACAGCATTTGCCCCAGCAGTGTCCGTAGGCTACACTGGATCTGTTGGAAGTGGGAGGTTTATTCGATGAGCAATAAAGCTCTTTTTCATAAATGTCAAGACGGGGCATGGGGGTAAGAGACAGTACAAAACATGATAGTAGTGCAAAGTACAATAAAGGTAAACAATTTAACACGTACAGTAGGCTTTCGCGACCAATATTATTCATAATAAAGGTTTTGGGTTAGATCGCGTTATTTATAAATTTGTAGTGGTGTTAACTACTCGCTGTTCGCAAACTGTGAGAGCAGATCGTAAACAAGGTTTTCCCGCTCAATCAAACGGTCAGGGTCAAATGGGGTGAGGTAGGATCCAAACGCCAGATTGGGAAGGACCAATCAGAAGGTCCCACAGGGTGGCCGGGAATTGGACAACCCGGCCACGAACAGGTATTAAAGCCAGAGCGCTGAGAGCTCTGGGAGAGTTCTGCTACACGAAGACCCAAGTCGGCCGAAGACATCTAGGACCCTGGACCAAGCCCTCCAGCCCTTATCAGGGCTAGGGCTCAGAGTAACCAGTGGTCGGGGAGAGATCCCCTAGGTCCAGCCAGAGGACGCTGGGATAGCAGGGAGATTAGATAGCCTACAAGGTCCGGAGGCTGTACCTTCTAAGGGTAACGGGTGAGGGGACCATATACCCCTTAGTGTGATAGGGACTGTGTATTAAGATAATAAACAGTGTGTGCCATAAATAAGTTTAGAGTCCGTCCTTTACAACACTACAAATTCATGGAGGGCTTCACTATTCTAGCAAATTGCCCGATGATTCTAGATGTAATTACCAGCTCAACGTCGTACTAAAAAATGTAAATGTTGTGGATTCACTCTTCAACACACCGGTGGGCTAAAGTAGTGAACTATTTGTCTTTAGTCAACGTGACACATTTTTTACTGATTGGGCGTGTCGGGTGGTGGAGGGTTGCAGCACATTTATAAATAACGCGATCTATCCCAAAAACCTTTATTATGAAAGGTAAACAAATTACCCAAACACATACAAATACAACTAAACCATCCCCATCCTTCCAGGCAAAACCCACTGAGGTATTAACTTATTTTTCAGAAGCGACCTGGCCACAAAGTGGCTCATCAGTGTGACATTTATAGCACCTCACTTGGTATGCAGGAGATTATGGGCTCCATCCCGACCCTGACACCTGCTGTATAAATTCTAGATTTGAAGCTTTCGTGACTGCAAGGATTCATATTCTTAGATTTTATCGGTAAAGTCACGTAGGTAAATATGTAAAATTAATAAATGTAAAATAAAAAATAAAATAAAAAACACAAGCTTCCGTCTTCATGTGGATCCGTCACAGCACGATTGCTGTATCAAGTCAGAGAAATTCCAAGAAAACAGTCCTTGTATATATACTGATTGAGGGTGGGAGGAGCCAAGGCAGGCACCCGGATATTATTGAAGTACCGGTGAAGACACTTGACGCCGAGGTGGAGGCACACGGATATTTATTCAACACAGCTCGTATGTGACATACAGCACTGGAGGGGGTATCGGCCCCCTCACCCGACTAGCTAAGGATACTCTTCCTAGCTAAGTCCTAGCCTGCCTCACAGTCCTCCACTACTGGGCTAGGGGAGGCTACTTGGCCCGACACTGGTAAGTCGGGCCGGTACCCGGAGTCCCAGACCAGCTCTTAGAAGAGCACCGGCTCTGGCTTTCGGGACCACGCCGCTGGCTCGGTCCTGTTCGGCCCTGACAAGGACATCGAACGAGGGGAGTCCAGGGCTCTATCTAAGACGTCTTCAGTCTTCTTAGTTAACTATAACATAACTGCCCCCGAGCCCATATAACGTCCCCTTTTATACCCAACCCTCCTTGAGGGGTGGGGCCCCGGGGGATCATAACGCCAAACCAGCCCCCCCCCAGGGTGTCTGGCTTGGACGTCGCAGAGGGCATCTCCCTGTGCACACACGTAGCCCCGCCCACTGTGTTTCTTTCCCATAGACTGCCATACATAACGGCCCTCTCTCTAACATCCCTACATCACTCCCCCCTGCATAGCTCGCAGCCGTCCCGGCTGCCAACATACAGAATGACAATAAAAATGAATTTTTACCGTAACCGCGCGTGTGCCTCACTAATTTTCAACAATAACAAGAACGGCAACAAGAACACAACAAAAAAAAATGCAACAGCAAGAAGAGAAAACAACCCGACGCACCCCCCCTTGAATAAATACGAATTCCGTAAGAAACAAGCTATATACAATTTGCATGGAAGCCACCATACACACAACAGCAGGTGAGCACAACGTAAGTAAATTCAATGGGCAGGGAGCACACCCCCCCACCCAACACACAATGAACACAACATATATACACATCTTGCGGTTTCACAACAGTCTGCGCATTTTTGCGCGTGTCCTTGCGGCGGGCCCCTCACACGGGGAAACCCCGGGTGGCGGACCGTCAGGTGGTAATCGTCCGTCCCGGAGTGAGACCTCCTCTGATGCCGCGTGACTGTTGGTATCCCCAGAAGGGGTGGTCGGGCGTGAGCCCGTCAGTCTCGATGCACCTGGAGGTGGCACGGCCGGCAAGGCATTAGGTGAGCGCGGTGGAGACGGACCTAGTGAGTCGGTCGACCCCCCACACGTCTGGCCACGCATGTGTGAAGTGGGTTTGTGTACCGCGACGAAGGGTTTCAACCGAGAGGGGTGCACGAACCATCGCCGCTTCCCCCATCGAATGCGCACGCACTGTGGTCGCAAGACCTCGATCCACTTCCACAGGGCCCCGCCACGGCCGCGCCAGCTTAGGGGAGGTAGCCAGGGGCACTTGGGGACAGTGCAACCATGCCCTGTCCCCCGGTTTCCACTGTATTACATGCGCCCGACCCAGCCTGAGGCGCTCGTTCGCCTTTTGACGGAGGTCCGAGTTCAACCTCGCAGCATCCCGCGCCTCTGTTAATTTAGCCAGATTAAATTTGACGTGGTCAGCCAATTTAGTTTTTCCTTGCGGGTCGGGGATCTGCAGCTGGGCGCGAACAGGCGGGTCGGGTTCGCGACCGTACATAAGGTAAAAGGGGGAAAATCCCGTAGCTGCATGGGGTGCCATCCGGTATGCCGCCAAGACCCCCTGAATATGCAGGTCCCAATCAGTCTGTGAATCTGAGACCTGCTGTGCCATCATTGACGAAATGGTGCGATGCAGGCGCTCGACCATTCCGTCAGTCTGTGGGTGATACGGGGAGGTCCGAATTTTCTTTGTGCCTAATAGGTCACAGACTTGTTTAAGTAATTTGCTGGAAACATTTTTACCCTGGTCGGTCAGCAGCCGTTCCGGAGCACCTTTGTCCAGGACGTATCCCTGAACAAAGGCGTCCACGATGGCTGCTGCCGACTGGTTGGCAAGGGGGCCAGGCCATGGGCCAGCACGTAAAATACTCGACCCCTGTCAGCAAATACCTATTGCCCCTGGGGGTGGCGGGAAATGGGCCCAAGATGTCCAGCGCGACAAGCTCATTTATTCTGGACACCTTGATTGATTGTAAAGGCGGGTTAGACTCCCATGCCGGCGGTTTCCGTTGCGCACACCGCGGGCATGAACTCAAAAGATCCCCAACATCCTTTGTCATACCAGGCCAAAAAAAATCTAGTTGTATCAGTGCAAGGGTCTTTAGAGTCCCCAGATGTAACAGGCGCTCATGCGCGGCCCACACCACTTTGCCTCGCAACTCAGAAGGGACGACCAGCCGATGTCGCTGTGATTTGCCGTCCCAATGCATGAGCAGACCCTGTACCATTTCCCATGCACCTGAATCACCTTTCACCCGCCCAGCACCCCCGACGCGACGACGCCACCCGAGGAGGGAGGTATCCTCCATTTGGAGGCGCCCCCACTCAGTGACGGGCAACCCCAACAGGGAATCCCTTCCCTGTTGTTCGATCGAATTATCAGGCAGTGGTTCGTCGTCGTCGGTGGCTGCCAGGAATCGGAACCGATGCGTCCCCTGAAGGTCTGCAACGTCCCGACCCCAGGAGGCATGCACATTCCGAGGTGGTTGGCATGCAGTGACAGAGCGTCCGCGTTGGTATGGCGAACGCCCTTACGGTAGGTGGTCTCAAAATCAAAATCCTGGAGAACCTCCAACCATCGAGACAACTGTCCCGATGGTTGTTGAACTCGCAGGGCATACTGTAGTGCCGCATGATCTGTGCGGACGGTGAAATGCCGACCGTACAGATATGGGCGATACTGTTGGATGAAAAAAACAATTGCCAACAGTTCTCTACGGGTGACACAATATCTCTGCTCCGCAGGAGACAACACCCGACTACCGTACGCGACCACCCGTTCAACGCCATCAACCACCTGGGAAAGCAC